TGCCCCACCCTTGCAGACTTGGCCCCTGGGTCATAACTTTGAAACGGTTGAGATCCCCACCCCAAAACTATATATACAAATGCTTGGCAAAAAGAGACAAATGCAGTCACAATATTAGAATCGATCCTGGGGTCTGGCCACAACTCTAGGGACCTAGTTTCTGAGTCAAAGCTTGGAAACAGTTGAGATCCCCACCCCATAACCATACATAAAATTGCTGGGCATGAAAAATGTAATATAGCTATGCTACAAGGATTGGCCTTGGGGTCTGGCCTATTCCCTTGATCTCATTTTGAGAATAGTTTGCCATGATTGCTTAGGTATCCAGGTGAGCGATACAGGCCCTCTGGGCCTCTTGTATAATTCCGTTGTACCAGATTATTGAAGCATTGTGATATTTTCTTATGAATTTTTGCATATTTTTTCTCTCATTTTCACATAGATAAATAAAATAAAATAAATATACAACATTTGGTATAGCACTCTCTAGCTAGACTAAGCTACCTTAAAGCATTCTACAGTCCATAGACAAAAAATTAACCCAATCAATAAAATAATCAGTACAATAATCAGTACAATAATCATACAATAATCAGTACAATAATCATACAATGATCAGTACAATCTTTCATGCAACTTGAAATACAAGTGGTTGGTCTTTTTCTGTGTATTGTGTGTCTATTACATAAAAGAGTAACAGAATAAAATCAGGAGTCGGTAATCCTGGTACCGTCACAGCCTGGTATTTCTAACTAAGTATGTATGCATGCATGTCTTTGTAGTTATGTCGTCAGTTAAATCTATTAAATGTATTATGTCTTGTATGGATCCTCACTAAACTTCCTACATAATTGTTCAGTACTAGTGTAGACATCGTCAATGAGAATGAAAAGTGAATGTCACAATATAACTGGGTTTAGCTTATTAAAAAACTATGAATAAACATTGAATTTAAAAATGGAATCTGCACCTACTGTTTGGTAGCATATGGGTGGTTTGGTCTAACATAATTGTAAGCAATTAAATAATTGAGGTTTAATGGGGGAACAAGAAAGTGCTATATACTTGTAGAATAGTTATCTGTACATTAGATGCTTATATAGTTTAGGATTGGTTCCATGAACCGATGTACTGGGAGGCACAGGTTTAAATTGGCATCAGGGACAACTTGTGTCAAGTCTCTGAAAAGGGTCTTGAAAATATGTCTATCTATTGTTTAACTTGGTACATTGCAATAGTGGAAGTAATAATTATCTGGTTCAAATTATATGACATTATATTTGTGTGTGAAACAAAATAAAATATAGAACAGAATTCACCACTGTTCTTAAGAAAAGGTACCTCAGGTAATCGTGCAAAAAAAATATAATAAAACTTTATAACCTTATATTTTGTTTCCTTTCAAGCAATGTTTGAGTTGTTTCCATGCCTTAACTTCAATTTATTTTTCATAGCTATGATGGGAGCACAGTACAGACAAATTGTTCAGTGGTGTCGAGGAAACTGGCATTGTCCCATGAGAGTCACCTCCCTTTATGAAAAGCTGTTTCCATTTGGATGTAAAGATGAACTGAAAGAACAAGTAAAGATTGCCTGGCCAATTGTGAGTAATGCATTGTTGTACGTCTTACAAGAATTTGATAATGCTTTAAATGTAACCTGTAAGGTAATTTGGATCATCGTAATGGAATTGTAGCACCTGGAAAATGAAAATATTATAGCCTGACCAGGATTTGAACTCAGAACCTCTAAACTCTAGACACAATTACTGTCAGACCCTCTTTTGCTCTTCAACAAAGTGACCTTGACCTTTTGTGGTAACCCTAAAATGGACCAAATTGAAACTAATTTGAAAACATTTGCAAAAGCGCTTTGGTGTCTGTTAAATTTTTCTTGAAAATATCTATCAAATTTATTGTCTTTGAGATATTGGCAGATTCCTTTGTGTATTTTTTTTTTTATCCTAACACATGGTGATGATCAGTTCTGTTATTTTTTTGTACTTTGAAAACATGTTTGATATTTTAGGTGGGTGTGATGGCAACTCAGTATATTAACATACTGGTCAGTCTTATATACTGTGGCCATCTTGGTACAGCCCAACTTGCTGCATTAGCCTTGACCACAACAGTAAGTCTGCATGTTTTGAAATGTGATGTATTACTAACTTTTTGTTGTATAATTTAGTGTTCATATATATATGAACACTAAATAATATATGGCATGGGGATATTCACTGGATAACACAGTACATTATGTGATAAATGATAATAGCATATAATGCTATAATCTTTTATCATATAATGTATGTATACTGTGTTATCCAGTGAAAATACCCATGTCATACTTGTTTGTGTATAAACCCATGTAATATATGACCTATCAGCCCTGTGATTGATTGTACGTTTCAATTGTGACATCACACCTAGGACAAGTACATGACGTCACAGACTTACGCACTGTAGTCAAAATGGTGGCTTTTTACATTTCAAGGTTGCATGAAAATTGTCGTTTTACACAATAAAAATGCCAGAAATCTTTATTATGTGATCAATATGATCTTACATTAGTTTTCATTTCATATGAAGTATATGAAACTTGTCACAAATTTTTCATGAGATGCTTGCCAGAGGCACGCTAAATTGAAAAATTCTCAGACTCGTTTCATAAATCTCATATGAAATGGAAACTCATGTAAGATCCTATATATCTAAATGTCAAGAGTCTATGGTACAAACTTTTTCTTTCTTTCATGAATCTATTGTGTTATTATTCGAATCAATTATTGGAGCAATCCAACAATGTTTTTATGTATGTTTTTTGCATTAAAGTCATATCTTGATGCAGTACTTAAACTTTGGACAACAGTGAATATAGGTTAAGTTTGAGATTGTTTCATGGTTCCTTGGTAATTGTCATTCATTTAAAAAAAATGTTGTATTACTTTTTATTTTGACTGCAGGTAATCAATGTATCAAGTAATTCTGTTATGCTGGGACTGGCATCAGCGTGTGATACTCTCTTCTCTCAGGTAACTCTTGTGATTATAACCTGTTTTCTAGTAAAACTGCCTTCCCCTTGTACAGACATATGTTTACCAGAAGTTGTGTTTAGATCATTGGACAGCCTAAAAGCTATTTCAGCCAGTTTACCTGGGGTGGCCGTTATCTAAGCACTAATCATCTTTCTGAATTCAATATTTTATTTTGGATACTTGAATTTATATATGTTATAATTATCAGTGTTTGTGGTAATTGGTCACTTAAGTTTCAAAATGTGTGTCTTGAATTAATTTAAAATAATCTTAAAGAAAACAGGAATTTTTATTTTGAAAAAAACCCACCCAAAACAATTTATATTTTGAATCCTTGTGTGTTACACACTACTAGGGTGAATGAATTTTTTTTATTACAAAGGCTTTATTAGCATTGTTGTTCCATGATCAATAAACCAATCAGGATTCTTCAAAATAACAATATCTTCCGTTTTCGTCTTCATTTTTTATTCAAGTCGTCAAAAGATTACCTCCTTTTTAGGAGAGTTACACACATTATAATAAACCAAAAGTGAAATTGAAAGTGAACTATTTCAACTGCCCTTTCATATTCATTGTATGATAAACATAATTATACTTTTATCTGTGATAAAAATATATATATATATATATATATATACTCTGTTTAGTTGTTTTGTGGCCTTTTGTCCAGAAATGTAATTTCATATTGTTTATTTTCAGACCTTTGGAAGTAAAAACAAACATCGAGTGGGAATTATAGTACAGCGAAGTAAGTATCACATTTTCTCTTATTTCCCTGTGTGTAAGATAGAGCTGTCTAGGGTAAGAAAGGGGTGTAGAAAATTTCTATCTCACATTTAGAACGTGACACTACGTCACAATGGCTCAACAATGACGTGACGTCACAAAGTTGGAACTCTCCGATGCCGCAATGCGGAAAAGGCGACGTGATGAAATTAAAACATTTTATGATATATTAATTACCATACATGTTAGAAAGATGTGATTAATTTTTCTGTGCAACTAAACTGGTTGGCTCAGATTCGTTTCGTCTAAAAAGCTCAGGGGAAAAATTGATATTTTCAAAATGGTGGCCAGTCCAAATGCATTTTCACGGTTTCTGGGCTTATTCTGGTGGTTGGAATGAGAGAAAAATACTCTTTCATGCCCAAGGGTGTAGGATAGGGAAATTCCACCCTCTGGATTTTCAAATTTGGCAAAACCCTCTGGTGGAATTTCCTTATCCTACACCCTTAGGCATGAAAGAGTCTTCTAATACTTCTGTAAAGAGTACTCGTCTTCATATTCATATAGTATATATACAATTATTCTTTTCTGGTGCAACCTTTATATTTTATTGCCGCAAATTAATTCATAGAGGATAGTCAAGAGATTGGTTCTGTTGTTGCTATAAGTGGTAGCACTGATGTTCTCTTAATTAGAATTAGCTCCCTTGCATACAGGTATTCTTATTTCAAAGAAACCTTGATGTTTCTTTTGTGTTTGTCTAGGTATAGTGATCCTGAGTCTTTGCTGTCTGCCATGCTGTGCCATCCTTATCAACACTGAACATATAATGAACTACATAGGACAGGACCCTCGAGTCGCCAGGTACAATCATCCATCAGTTTACAGGTGAAAAACACCACAATTACAGGAAAATGCTAATTTATTTCGCAATTATAAAGGAAATATTTAGCAATTTCTTTTCAGTCATATCATCTTTTAAACTCATTTATGTGAACTTTGCTTTCAAAGAAATGTAAAAGAAACTTACGTTTTATATAAGTTTCATCCTTTATCACAAGTTGCTCTGACAAATGACAGGTGATATAAAACAGAATTTTTCAATCACACTTTAAATGTATATCATACTTCTGAGGTAAGTTGACCATACTGTTGATTATTGAATTATTTGTGTTGTAGACTCGGAGGAAAGTACGCCTTAATATATATAGCTGGTCTACCTGTAAGTGTAAACAAATGTCTTTACTCACCTTAACATTTACATTGTTACTTTGTTTCACCAACTTCTACACACATGTATGACAGACACATACATACATGTAAACCCTATCTAAAACACTCGATGAATGCACTCAGTAACTGCTAAATTGTGAACTACGTTTTTTTTTATATGCATTTACTAAATCCTTACAAGAACGTGCAAAAAAAATGAGAAGAAGATGTTTAAGCTAGAATTTTTTAAGAATTTGAAGCAACCCCTTCAGGACCGACTGAGAGGTTTCTCCAACACACGACTCCATAGTTGGAATTACTCAATATTCCTTAAACACATGATAATGAGTTCCTTGATGAACATACATGTAACCAAATGCAGTTGTCAGTCCTATGAGCTATGAATGCCATTTTCTGTCATTATGAGGTGATTTTCCTCCATACCAGTGTGTCTGGGATGAATTTCTTTTGATGTCTGCAAAATCTGAAATATTTCTGACCCAACTCAATTTTCATTAAAATACTGACTCATTATGCTTCACACGAACCCTGACCATGATCTTCCTACCTAGACAATGATACAGTACTGACATGTCTTATGTTTCAGGCTGTGGCCTACTCCGATATCCTCTCTAAATACCTTCAAGCTCAGGTAAAATCATGTTTAATCTAAACAGTGGTTCATCTCTTTGTTATATTTCCATTTAACACACAAACATGTAAAATAACTTGGGATGTAGACATGTGACACATTCACCAGTTGTTTATATACAAAATATAAATGATATGAATACAATTTACAGCTATTAAAGATTCTATTTAGAGGTACAATCCAACCACATGAAAGGATTTTGATCTACTCCGGCTGGCTAACCTGTTTTGAAAAAGTAAACATTAATTCAGAGAATGGGACCTTAGCAACTCAAATACAAAACAAAAGTGATAAATGCCTTTTCAACTTTTATTATATCAACAAATGTTCTGAGCTTTAAAAAATACATTTGGACCAGACCAGGATTTGAGCCCTGGACCTCAGATCATTATACTGTCCCTCTAGCCAACTGAACTACCTGGTTAACAGTAGTGTCCTGGACCTCAGATCATTAAACTGTCCCTCTAACCAACTGTACTTCCTGGTCAACAGTAGTGTCCTGGACCTCAGCTTATTATACTGTCCCTCTATCCAACTGTACTACCTGGTCAACAGTAGTGTCCTGGACTACAGATCATTATACTGTCCCTCTAGCCAACTGAACTACCTGGTCAACAGTAGTGTCCTGGAGCTCAGATCATTATACTGTCCCTCTAACCAACTGTTCTACCTGGTCAACAGTAGTGTCCTGGACCTCAGCTTATTATACTGTCCCTCTATCCAACTGTACTACCTGGTCAACAGTAGTGTCCTGGACTACAGATCATTATACTGTCCCTCTAGCCAACTGAACTACCTGGTTAACAGTAGTGTCCTGGACCTCAGATCATTAAACTGTCCCTCTAACCAACTGTACTTCCTGGTCAACAGTAGTGTCCTGGACCTCAGCTTATTATACTGTCCCTCTAGCCAACTGTACTACCTGGTTAACAGTAATGTCCTGGACCTCAGATCATTATACTGTCACTCTAGCCAACTGTACTACCTGGTCAACAGTAGTGTCCTGGTCCTCAGATCATTATACTGTCCCTCTAGCCAGCTGGACTACCTGGTCAACAGTAGTGTCCTGGCCCTCAGATCATTATACTGTCACTCTAGCCAACTGTACTGCCTGGTCAACAGTAGTGTCCTGGACCTCAGCTTATTATACTGTCTCTCTAGCCAACTGTACTACCTGGTTAACAGTAATGTCCTGGACCTCAGATCATTATACTGTCCCTCTAGCCAACTGATCTACCTGGTCAACAGTAGTGTCCTGGACCTCGGATCATTATACTGTCACTCTAACCAACTGTACTACCTGGTCAACAGTAGTGTCCTGGTCCTCAGATCATTATACTGTCCCTCTAGCCAGCTGAACTACCTGGTCAACAGTCGTGTCCTGGACCTCAGATCATTATACCGTCACTCTAGTCAACTGGACTACCTGGTCAACAGTAGTGTCCTGGACTACAGATCATTATACTGTCCCTCTAGCCAACTGATCGACCTGGTCAACAGTAGTGTCCTGGACCTCAGCTTATTATACTGTCCCTCTATCCAACTGTACTACCTGGTCAACAGTAGTGTCCTGGTCCTCAGATCATTATACTGTCCCTCTAGCCAACTGAACTACCTGGTTAACAGTAGTGTCCTGGACCTCAGATCATTAAACTGTCCCTCTAGCCAACTGTACTACCTGGTTAACAGTAATGTCCTGGACCTCAGATCATTATACTGTCCCTCTAGCCAACTGGACTACCTGGATGTTTTCTGGCCCAGCTTACACTACATAATATATCCAAACCAGAATTTAGGAGACCGGATTACACTTTGTACGAAAAGCTACATTGAAATCCTTAGACTTTGTATCTGTGTGTGTGACTCTGTGACAAGAATCCCATCACAGAGTCCATGATGAGATGATCAGCCTTAGATATCCCTTTAATGAATTAAACATTGTATTTCAGTGTATAGTGATACCAAGTCTGGTGATAGGAATAGCTGCTAACTTCCTCAATGTGGGATTTCACGCCTTCTTTCTGTTTATGCTGCAACTGGGTATTGTGTGAGTACTTTTTGCCTGTTGTTTATTTATGCGTATTGTTAATTTACATTATTTTTTTTCCCGTTAAATTTTGAAATAAAAATTAACAACATGTAAACAGAAATACATGTACATAAAAGGTACATTGTGCCCAATAAAGTTGCATGTCAGATGGAGTTTGTGAATGTTCACATGAAAGATCTGTAATATAAATTGATACACTAACAGGCTGTATTCTTTTCCAAATTCCTTGATATCTTTGATAATATGTTCATCAAACATTTTCACTGATATTGTGTAATATTTCTATGGTAGGGAAATCTCTCTATCTGTGTAACAGAAGAAGATACCAGTAATTGTTTATATATGTGTCTGTTGTAGGGGTGCCTCTATATCTGTAATTGTTTATATACGTGTCTGTTGTAGGGGTGCCTCTATATCTGTAATTGTTTATATATGTGTCTGTTGTAGGGGTGCTTCTATATCTGTGACCTTGACCCACTGGTCTATATTCCTACTCCATGTTACCTACATTATCATCACACGTACCTATGAGGATACCTGGACAGGTGAGAAATTTGACAATTGTCACTTGTATGTACACATCAGCTGCTTAAATAATACTAAATTCTGATATTTTACATCATTTTCACATTATTCAGAAGAACTCAAATATGTAGACACAGAATCTGTTATCATTCATTAAGTAAATTAAAATCTTATTACCCGGTGAACAAATTTAAAGAAATGTTTACGATAGTTAAAATTTTGACCTGTTAGGTAGTGAATATATATAGACAATCCACACCTTACTAACCATATTTACACTGTATGATGATATATTAATATTGGACAAATAGTCTTTACCAATTTACCACAGAATGTGAAGTATCAGGTGACACTCACATTGTTAAAACTCCCTCTTATACTACACAAAGATATGGGATGTTAAGAAAGCAGCGTGTCACAGATACACATATTTATTCTGACAATAAACAAATATACAGAATTTACTATCCTTTGATAGTCAGCTTGTAATATAAAGATACATAGTAATACCCGGTAATCGTAATTTTATAGCTCATTATTTTTTCTTCAAAAAAACCGGTTGTTTTTATGGTTTTGATGTAGTCTATGGTTTCCTTGTTTTGTTTAGCTTGAAATAGTTCCTGTAATATGTGTTTTAATCATAATTTTATCATCCATTTAAAACCACTTGTAGTAAAGCCTGACACATCACCTAATTTTACTGATAATTCACATCAATTTGACCTAGCAGTACCTTTCTATGTATTTGTTTGTTGTGGTTCCAGGTTTCAGTGTAGAGTGTTTCTATGACTGGTGGCTGTTCCTCACTCTGGCTGTGCCCGGCCTTTTTATGGTGTGTCTTGAGTGGTGGAGTCATGAGATTATTATGTTCTGTGTTGGTGAGTTATTTCCCCTTAACGTCATGCTACCACAATTGGTACAATTTTGACAGTTTTTTAGTAATCCTAAAAAATACAGTTTTATATCTTAATAATTTGTTTTTGAAAATAGAATGCTAGACTCGCAGTGAGATTTCAGCCGTTTTTCGGCCGTAATTAATACCCAAATTGGTATGGAATTTGTTTTTATTTCTACTAGTTGATGTGCCGATTACAAAATATATTGCTTTTATAAACACTACACTGAACTATAGTTGTATATAAGGACCAGTAATCAACATTTAAACATGCTTATATTTAACCCCTTGGAAATCCTCCAAAATTTCGACGACATATGTCGTTTTTACTGGTTTTCTGATATATTTACTTTGAAGTCATTGTGTACTCTTAAAATGTTCCTGAAAACAAAACTATTCTGCAGAAATGCTGATAAATATCTCTTTTGTTATACTGTCAAAGGAAAGTGCTCAAATTTAATTTTAAAGTACTATTCGAACAATTTTCTGACTGTGTACCAATTTGGGTATTGTGGTAGCGTGATGTTAAAGTGTCATGTTTTGTCTGTGTGTGAAGGTTTTCTCCCATGTCGTCGTCGGCGGCATTGTCGTTTGGTCATCAGAAACAAGGTTTCCGTACAATAACTTGAGTTCCCTTGGGTTGATTAAACTCAAACTAAATTAAATGGTACACATATTGCATACCAATATAGCTCAGACAAGTTCGCGTTTCAGAAGTTTACGTGCATTTTTGGTGGAGTTATGCCCCCTTATTTTGCTAAATAAGGGCATTGTGTAGTAAATGCAAGAACTTCTTTTTTTTAATCAATTCCTTTCAAATTTTGTACAGTAATGCTTGAAGCAATAATGTTCAATATATATTACGGGTTTTCTGATGAGTTTCAACTCTCTGCCTTTTGTCATATCTGTTTACGCGATAACTCAAGCCAAAACACTTTTCTTACTAAAAACGCTGAGCAGGCGACACATCCACTCCCGTGAGATTCTTGTTAAATCACCTGCCTGATGGGCAAGTGTGCCTATGACATGGTTCGGCGTATGGCATCCGTTGGGAAAGAGATTTTGACCTAAATTTGTCTGGAGCATTCTTGGCCCAAGGGGACTTAAACCTGTGTAAATAAAAGGTGTGGTCTCCATTGGGACAGAGGGATGGGGCACATAAAGGTAAAAATTCTTGAACATGGATTTTATCCTTAATTGGTCTGGAGCATCCATAGGACACTCTCTGGTTTGAAGGTCAAGGCCCAACTCCTCTTAACTAAACATGAATTGTCGTAAATAATCTCAAAAAGTTTCCTGATGTTAAGTAGGTATGATTTAAATGTTCCAGGTCTAGTAGGAGTCGACCAGCTTGCCAGTCACTCCATCGCCTACACTATGGCAAGCATGGCCTTTATGGTAAGTCACCTGATTGTCTGTAATTAAGATTTTAGGTTAAGGAGAGTATTCCAATATTCTACTGTATGCAAGTACTTTTCCTCTTCCTCCATATAAATACAAACATAATATTAGGTGAAGGCCTTTTTTACAATTAGAATATTTTGAGCTTGTTCCCTGTAATGTTGCAGAAATACAGGATATTAGTATCAGAACCTGCTACTTGCTTTACCAACAGTATATATAATATGTTATCAGATTGAATAACTTCAATAAAAATTCCAATGATGATACCATTAAGGAAAAGAGTCCAGTGCTCTTTTTGTTTCATCGCCATTAAAGGAGAGTTCCATTTTTTTTGGAGTTTTTCTGACCTGTAAGTTCCTTTCTTATTCACTGTAGCAAAGAGCTATACTCAAAAGAAATAATTTACATTTATTTCATCATACTTTTACTTAAATCCGGAACAGTTTCAATCTCTAAACTGAACCTTTGTATTCATGAAAACAATTCCATTTCTAGTTAAGGTTAGACATATGAATTTCTTTTATGACATTTATCATGATCTGTCAATTACATCAACATGTATACATACCCAATTCCTTCTCTGTAGACTGTATAGTACAGAGTAAATTTTGTCTTTATGCCCCCACCATAAAATGGAGGGGCATATAGTGTTGCCCATGTCTGTCGCGTCCCGTCCCGATTCAATGTAAACACCCGTCCCATCACGTCCTGTCACGATTCAATGTAAACACTTATATAACAACTACATTCTTTGACTGCCCATGTCCGTCCCGTCCCATCCCGTCCTGTCCCGTCCCGATTCAATGTAACTAATTAAACACTAGCAACTTCATTCTATGACAGGTATTAGTCAAACTTTATGAAAAGGTCTATTATGAATATACTTTGGACATTGTTGTGTTTCAGGGTTCCAAGGTCAAGGACAAGGTCACTGTTGCTATATATAGAAAATCATCAATTGATTCAATTTAAACACTTAGCAACTTCATTCTTTCACAGATTTTGGTCAAACTTTATACAAAAGTCAAATATGGGTATACATCTGACATCCCTGTGTTTCAGGGTTCCAAGGTCAAGGCCAAGGTCACTGTTGCTATATATAGAAAATCATCAACTGATTCATTTTAAACACTTAGCAACTTCATTCAATATGTTATGGAGATGGTAATTACATACAGAAAAAAATGAATATTTAAATCAACTCATCAACTTTAAGTGTAGTACCTTGTGTGTGTACATGTTTCAGGGTATCAAGATCAAAGTGGTTGTAACTTTTAAATAGAACACTGAAACTAATTTCACATGGCAGCAGGGGCATTTATGTCTTACAAACATTTTCTAGTTTCTTTATGACTTCAGTTACCACTTGGCCTCTCTGTTGCTGCCAGTGTGAGGGTTGGAAATCACCTTGGAACAGCCAACCCTTGTAAAGCCCTTACAGCCTCAAGGGTGTCCATACTTATAGCAGGTAGTAATATACATTGAACTCTCAGACCTGAAAGCTTCTGGTGTGATCATATGCATTGTTTGACATACAGCAGATACAGTTTCCCAATGACGGAAAGAGATATTGTTATGACATTCCTCCATCTAGACTGTTGTTTTTTCATCCTGATTCATTTCTATGCATAACATTGAGTACATCAAATTTAAACAACCTACAAGGCTTTTTTTGGTAAAAGAATTTGTTAGGGATTGCTTTTGAGGTCCAAAGGTCAAGGTCACTGCTATTTTTAATAGTAAATTAGCACAATTACTGGATCTAGTAGCTTGCTGTATGAGCTTCTTGTAGATACTTTCAATGGTTTATCCAACCCAAACCAATGGAATAATTCAACTTATTCAACTAGTCGATGATGGTATTAGTATTGCTGAATCTTATAGTATATGAATGTAAAAATCACATATTCCATAAAGTTGCTTCAGTCTCACAAGTGAAATTATCCTAGGGATTTCCATTAACTAAATTGGTTACCTGATGTGTTCGTTAATTGTGAGTTTATAATACCTTTCTGTAATTTCAGTAACCGTAGCAACAGTTTCAGCTATAACTTTCCTGGCACTGAAGAATATCATACCCTACTTGTTCACAAATGATTGGTGAGTTCATGAGGATCAGCTTCTCAAATACTACTGTCTGTATTATATACTGTCAGTGTAATAATCTCATAATTAGCTATACAGCAGATCCTTGATATCTTGTCTTATATGTGTTACAGGACAGTGGTTGCACTAGCCTCCAGACTGATGATGCAGGTTGCCCTGTTTGAGCTGTTCGACCAGGTTCAGGTGACCTAAATATTTTTGTATATTTTTGCATGTTTAAACTAGCTAACATTACCGGTATTTCATAAGATGCCATATTATTGTTGTTTAAACATGTTGACCTTGAGGGGTTGGTACGGTCACTGCCTCCTCAGAGGGGTTGGTACCGTCACTGCCTCCTCAGAGGGGTTGGTACCGTCACTGCCTCCTCAGAGGGGTTGGTACCGTCACTGCCTACTCATTCATTCCTACAGTTTGCTAAATGGAAACGCCTAATCAAACTAAAAGCATTCAGCGACCACCTCACAACGAATATAGTCAACAAACACGTGTGCAAGAACAACAGAGAATTAATCATTCTTTGTTGACACCTGCATTTATTGGAACCATAAACAAGACTCCGTTGTGCATGCTATTACCCTAGAGAGCTCTAAGAGCGCCCTACAGGAGCATCGCCAATAAGTCCTACAGGAGCATCGCCAATAAGTCCTACAGGAGCATCGCCAATTAGTCCTACAGGAGCATCGCCAATAAGTCCGGCGCTCTCTCTTCCGTTGTAAAATAACCAGTATTGGGATCTACAACGTACATCGTGCAGATACAGAAACTCAGCCAGACAAGATCAAGATTTTCCATGTGTTTGAGTGGTGATATGAAGATACACAGGATTCTGTTGTTCCTGAGTTATATATATATATATATATACATGTATTAATACATTTGTTGTGAGTTACAGAATGTTGTGTAATACAACTTTGATTCTACTGTACGTATTTCTGCTGTTTATACAGGCTGCTTGCAGTGGTGTGATCCGTGGCATTGGTCTACAGAAGTTTGGGGCCATTACTAATTTTGTGTCCTACTATCTGGTGGCACTGCCTCTGGGTATCCCACTGTTACTGGAAACCTCACTGGCTGTATCTGGTAATAATCCATACAAACTATACTGTGTATTAACCCAAACTATGTCTAGTTGTTCATTGCAGTGCTTTGTCTCTCCACATTAATTTGGGTTTGTTAACAGTCCCAATCCCAGAGGAAGATAGTCACTCTTTTTCCCATTTTGTCCAGATAAATATCGAATTTGTTTAGAGAAAAAAATGTGTCCTGTTGGGTAATTGATCATTCCATTGTTACCCAGATCTTATAATTACCATACTATCTAAATTAAGAGCAGCATTTATTTGATTTAAATATATAAGATATCTCTATTTACAACTATTGTGCATAAATTTTGTACTTACTAACCAATTTAGAGGGTTTTTATAACACTTGTTCATATCACTATTCCATCAGAAAGAATTCTTGTGTGTCAGTATTGTTTATGTATCTTTGAATGCCTTGCTTGTCTAACAAAGCAGCTGTTTCCTGGTCTAGGTGCGTGGTGGGCTGTGATACTTAGCGCTGCTCTCCAGTCTCTCGTGTTCCTTGTCAGAATTCTCTCAACAAACTGGGAATTGGAGTCAGAAAAGGTATAGAAAAAGAAAGAAAAGTTTTTAAAACACTAAAAAAAAGTGGCTATCATTAAACTAGATTTTGTTCTGAAGTCTTTTAGGAATGATTCTGTTGTTCCAATATTGACTGTATGTCCTTTCTTCAAGGAATATTTTGAACAAGTTTGATACTTAACATTCTAGTAATGAATATAAACATCATTTGTCATGATGAAAACTATTTTTCCTCAATAATGAACCTAAAAGTCGGCTATGATGTTCGAAATGTACAAACATCATTATTTACAAATGTACAAACACCATTATTTACAAATGTACACACACCATTATTTACAAATGTACAAACATCATTATTTACAAATGTACAAACATCATTATTTACAAATGTACAAACACCATTATTTACAAATGTACACACACCATTATTTACAAATGTACAAACATCATTATTTACAAATGTACAAACATCATTATTTACAAATGTACAAACACCATTATTTACAAATGTACACACACCATTATTTACAAATGTACGAACACCATTATTTACAAATGTACAAACATCATTATTAACAAATGTACAAACATCATTTTTTACAAATGTACAAACATCATTATTTATAAATGTACAAACACCATTATTTACAAATGTACACACACCATTATTTACAAATGTACGAACACCATTATTTACAAATGTACAAACATCATTATTAACAAATGTACAAACATCATTTTTTACAAATGTACAAACATCATTATTTATAAATGTACAAACACCATTATTTACAAATGTACACACACCATTATTTACAAATGTACGAACACCATTATTTACAAATGTACAAACATCATTATTAACAAATGTACAAACATCATTATTTACAAATGTACAAACACTATTATTTACAAATGTACAAACACCATTATTTACAAATGTACAAACACCATTATTCACATGTATATATATGTTGGTAGGCATCCATTTAACCCCTGTATCAGAGAAACTTGTGTTGGACTTCTGAACAGAGAGTAAAACAGCAAAAGCTGTACAAATGTTAATAAAGATATAGTATTATCTTGGGCAATCTGTGATGATATTAACACACCTGGGTTTGCTCACCAATAAACTGTGTTATAACCTGTATTTTACAGGCACAGATAAGAGCTGGTGTAGCAGAAGGCCTGCCCAAACATCCCTCCAGAGGTAGGTATATCACTATATATATAAATCATTAAATGACCTATCTCTCTTCTTCCTCTCCATCAGCAAACTTCCTCCATAGGACATTCCTCCTGTATAAATATACAGGCCACATATTTCCTCCTCCTCCTCCTCCTCCTCCTCCTCCTCCTCATGTAGAACCAACATCATCATTTACAAATCTTCAGATTGCCGACATTTCAATTTCCAATACAATTGGTTATAAACTTATAGTAAATTATATATTGCTTACTTGAAGGTGTCCAGTCTGTTCCCAGAGCATTTGCCAAAGTGGGAAGGGGGCTTATTTGTGGTAAAAAATGTACTTACAACAATGACTTTAATCCACTCGGTCATAATTGTAATGTTTGTAACATTTCAACACAGGTCAGAGCCTTGGGACTATCACACTACAGGAGGATAATTTGTCTACTGACACACAGGAGCTGATGGAGGCCGATCACCTGACCTTGTCTGATACGTCCAGTCATCGTAGCGATGACAGCTTGAGCCAGCAACCCACTGTCTGTACCAACGACCTTGTTAATGTTCTTCTGACACGGTTTGCTGTCCTGTTCTCATTCCTAGTCATTCTGGTAGGGGCAATACTTCTCAAAGTCTATCTCGATGGGTTAGCAAGCTTCCTGAATTGTGTAGTGATAAATGCAACCAATCTGAACATGACCTACATGAATGGAGAGTTATATAACAACCACACTGTGACATTGAGCGACCTGGATTGGAAGGTGTTGAATATGACCTACATGTACGAGATGGAACACAATTGGAACCAGACATTTGTTTACTGTAGTGGGGTAATAAAAGACTTCACCAATGACGTCTCCTGGCCCATGTATAATAACACCAGACTATTTGGGGGATTGCATCCTCACATGCCAACCAGGCCTATAGGCTGATTGTACCTAGTAATATAGACCATACCCTCACAACCAGGCCTATAGACTGATTGTACCTGGTAATATAGACCATACCCTCACAACCAGGCCTATAGGCTGATTGTACCTGGTAATACAGACCATACCCTCACAACCAGGCCTATAGGCTAATTGTACCTGGTAATAGAGACCATACCCTCAAAACCAGGCCTATAGACTGATTGTACCTGGTAATACAGACCATACCATCACAACCAGGCCTATAGGCTGATTGTATCTGGTAATACAGACCATACCCTCACAACCAGGCATATAGGCTGATTGTACCTGGCATACCATACCCTCACAACCAGGCCAATAGGCTGATTGCAATCTGGCAATACAGACCATACCCTTACAACCAGGCTTATAGGCTGATTGTACCTGGCAATACAGACCATACCCTTATAACCAGGCCTATAGGCTGATTGCAATCTGGTGATATGGACTATACCCTAACAACAAGGCCCAAAGAGGAAAGTACCTAATGGTAAAAACTTCACCTTCACAAAAACTTCACCTTCACAAAAAGGCCTATAGGCTGACTACCTTGTGATAAGGACCCATACAACAAGGCCTCAAGAAGAATAGTACCTGGTGATTTGGACTTCACCTTCACAACCAGGCAAATTTTACCTGGTGATGATATGGAAAAGGACTATACTCTCACAACCAGGCCTTTATGTCTACAACATTTAAAGTTTTATTTTAATTGTGAATGAAGTTTAAAGGTTTAGTTTCAGGAATGAAAGGTGCTTACCTTCAAATAGTTTGTACATTTATAAAGGGAGAGTATGTCAGGTTATTTATAGAACTGTGTAGTGTTAACACAGCTGGACTGTGTGGACTTGAATATGTCATATACTTTAGAAATATGACAGTCTTATTTTTGGTGATGCTGTTCAGTCCTAAAAATAAGTGTAAATCTGCTACACTGACTAAAACTGAATAATCAAGATATAAACAGTCCAGATTTACTGTGAGAACAGAGGTACTGAACTGTGACTGTTTCAGTATTTCCTGTTATGTATACAGTATGTATCTGTGAAAACTGGGGTACTGAACTGTGACTGTTTCAGTATTACCTGTTATGTATACAGTATGTATCTGTGAAAACTGGGGTACTGAACTGTGACTGTTTCAGTATTACCTGTTATGTATACAGTATGTATCTGTGAGAACAGAGGTACTGAACTGTGACTGTTTCAGTATTTCCTGTTATTTATACAGTATGTATCTGTGAGAACAGAGGTACTGAACTGTGACTGTTTCAATATTCCCTGTTATGTATACAGTATGTATCTGTGAGAACAGGGGTACTGAACTGTTACTGTTTCAATATTTCCTGTTATGTATACAGTATGTATCTGTAGTACAGAGGTACTGAACTGTGACTGTTTCAATATTTCCTGTTATGTATACAGTATGTATCTGTGAGAACAGGGGTACTGAACTGAGACTGTTTCAATATTTCCTGTTCTGTATACAGTATGTATCTGTGAGAACAGAGGTACTGAACTGTGACTGTTTCACTATTTCCTGTTATGTATACAGTATGTATCTGTAGTACAGAAGTACTGAACTGTGACTGTTTCAATATTTCCTGGTATGTATACAGTATGTATCTGTGAGTACAGAGGTACTGAACTGTGACTGTTTCAATATTTCCTGTTATGTGTACAGTATGTATCTGTGAGTACAAAGGTACTGAACTGTGACTGTTTCAGTCGTTCCTGTTATGTATACAGTATGTATCTGTGAGAACAGGGGTAGTGAACTGTGACTGTTTCAGTATTTCCTGTTACGTATACAGTATGTATCTGTGAGTTCAGAGGTACTGATCTGTGACTGTTTCAATATTTCCTGTTCTGTATACAGTATGTATCTGTGAGAATAGAGGTACTGAACTGTGACTGTGTCAGTAGTTCCTGTTACGTATACAGTATGTATCTGTGAGAACAGGGGTACTGAACTGTCACTGTTTCAGTATTTCCTGTTATGTATACAGTATGTATCTGTGAGTTCAGAGGTACTGAACTGTGACTGTTTCAATATTTCCTGTTTTGTATACAGTATGTATCTGTGAGAATAGAGGTACTGAACTGTGACTGTTTCAGTATTTCCTGTTAGTATGTATCTGTGAGAACAGGGGTACTGAATTGTGACTGTTTAAATATTTCTTGTTATGTATACAGTATGTATCTGTGAGAACAGGGAGACTGAACTGTGACTGTTTCAGTATTTCCTGTTATGTATACAGTAACAAGGGTACTGAATTGTGACTGTTTAAATATTACCTGTTATGTATACAGTATGTATCTGTGAGAACAGGGGTACTGAATTGTGACTGTTTAAATATTTCCTGTTATGTATACAGTATGAATCTGTGAGAACAGAGGTACTGTACTATGACTGTTTCAATATTTCCTGTTATGTATACAGTATGTATCTGTGAGAACAAGGGTACTGAATTGTGACTGTTTAAATATTTCCTGTTATGTATACAGTATGTATCTGTGAGAACAGGGGTACTGAACTGTGAATGTTTCAGTATTTCCTGTTATGTATACAGTATGTATATGCGAGTACAGAGGTACTGTACTGTGACTGTTTCAGTATTTCCTGTTATGTATACAGTAACAAGGGTACTGAATTGTGACTGTTTAAATATTTCCTGTTATGTATACAGTATGTATCTGTGGGAACAGGGGTACTGAACTGTGACTGTTTCAGTATTACCTGTTATGTATACAGTATGTATCTGTGAGAACAAGGGTACTGAATTGTGACTGTTTAAATATTTCTTGTTATGTATACAGTATGTATCTGTGAGAACAGGGGTACTGAATTGTGACTGTTTAAATATTTCCTGTTATGTATACAGTATGTATCTGTGAGAACAGGGATACTGAACTGTGACTGTTTCAATATTTCCTGTTATGTATATAGTATGTATCTGTGAGAACAGCGGTACTGAACTGTGACAGTTTCAATATTTCCTGTTATGTATACAGTATGTATCTGTGAGAACAGAGGTACTGAACTGTGACTGTTTCTGTATTTCCTGTTATGTATACAGTATGTATCTGTGGGAACAGGGGTACTGAACTGTGACTGTTTCAGTATTACCTGTTATGTATACAGTATGTATCTGTGAGAACAGAGGTACTGAACTGTGACTGTTTCTGTATTTCCTGTTATGTATACAGTATGTATCTGTGAGAACAAGGGTACTGAATTGTGACTGTTTAAATATTTCCTGTTATGTATATAGTATGTATCTGTGAGAACAGCGGTACTGAACTGTGACAGTTTCAATATTTCCTGTTATGTATACAGTATGTATCTGCGAGTACAAAGGTACTGAACTGCGACTGTTTCAGTATTTCCTGTTATGTATACAGTATGTATCTGTGAGAACAAGGGTACTGAATTGTGACTGTTTAAATATTTCTTGTTATGTATACAGTATGTATCTGTGAGAACAGGGAGACTGAACTGTGACTGTTTCAGTATTTCCTGTTATGTATACAGTAACAAGGGTACTGAATTGTGACTGTTTAAATATTTCTTGTTATGTATACAGTATGTATCTGTGAGAACAGGGATACTGAACTGTGACTGTTTCAATATTTCCTGTTTTGTATACAGTATGTATCTGTGAGAATAGAGGTACTGAACTGTGACTGTTTCAATATTTCCTGTTATGTATAGAGTATGTATCTGTGAGAACAGGGGTACTGAACTGTGACAGTTTCAATATTTCCTGTTATGTATACAGTATGTATCTGCGAGTACAAAGGTACTGAACTGTGACTATTTCAATATTTCCTGTTATGTATACAGTATGTATCTGTGGGAACAGGGGTACTGAACTGTGACTGTTTCAGTATTACCTGTTATGTATACAGTATGTATCTGTGAGAACAGAGGTACTGAACTATGACTGTTTCAATATTTCCTGTTATGTATACAGTATGTATCTGCGAGTACAAAGGTACTGAACTGCGACTGTTTCAGTATTTCCTGTTATGTATACAGTATGTATCTGTGAGAACAGGGATACTGAACTGTCACTGTTTCAGTATTTCCTGTTATGTATACAGCATGTATCTGTGAGAACAGGGATACTGAACTGTGACTGTTTCAATATCTCCTGTTATGTATACAGTATGTATCTGTGAGAACAGAGGTACTGAACTGTGACTGTTTAAATATTTCCTGTTATGTATACAGTATGTATCTGCAAGTACAAAGGTACTGAACTGCGACTGTTTCAATATTTCCTGTTATGTATACATTATGTATCTGTGAGAACAGAGGTACTGAACTGGGCCTGGTTCAATATTTCCTGTTATGTATACATTATGTATCTGTGAGAACAGAGGTACTGAACTGTGACTGTTTCAATATCTCCTGTTATGTATACAGTATGTATCTGTGAGAACAGAGGGACTGAACTGTGACTGTTTCAATATTTCCTGTTATGTATACATTATGTATCTGTGAGAACAGAGGTACTGAACTGTGACTGTTTCAGTATTCCCTGTTATGTATACAGTATGTATCTGTGAGAATAGAGGTACTGAACTGTGACTGTTTCAATATTTCCTGTTATGTATACATTATGTATCTGTGAGTACAGAGGTACTGAACTTTGACTGTTTCAGTATTTCCTGTTATGTATACAGTATGTATCTGTGAGAACAGGGGTACTGAACTGTGACTGTTTCAGTATTTCCTGCTATGTATACAGTATGTATCTGTGAGAATAGAGGTACTGAACTTTGACTGTTTCAGTATTTCCTGTTATGTATACAGTATGGATCTGTGAGAACAGAGGTACTGAACTGTGTCTGTTTCAATATTTCCTGTTATGTATATAGTATGTATCTGTGAGAACAGGGGTACTGAACTGTGACTGTTTCAGTATTTCCTGTTATGTATATCTTTGCTCACTTGATGTAGACCTTTCCAGGTGCCATCTTGCCCAATGAACATGCAAGT